ACTAATTATATTCCATAAACCTCCGAACATAAGCGATGCAGTCAAAGAAACTTGTCCGGTAACTGAGAGTGATATTAAGATTGGAAGTAAGGTGCCCATGTCTCCCAGACTGCCACTTAGCTCTGATATGGACGCATTCTTTTTTATATATAATATTCTCTCTTTGACAGGTGAGTGAATAATATGCAAAGGATTACGCCGCAAAGAAGAGCCGTGAATCGGATCCGATGATTCTGCAACTTCAATAGCCTCATGAGAAGTCATGTTGTGAAACTTCGTAGGTCAAAATGTTTGTTAAGGGTATTTTCGGTCTTTTTAAACATTTTGTTATCGTTACAACTGAGTATGTTTTCAGATTATCATAAGTATAACACCGCCTTCAGTGTAAAGTGCACAATCACTACATGCGCATGAATTCCTTAAATTCCTCTTTATCTTATCTTATCTTCAGGCATCTGTTATCAATCGGAATGGAACACAAGAAGTCAAGTTGTTATACATAATGCTTTCGTGTATACCGTATCGCGTGGCAGGAAGAGGCAAGGAAATTTATGAATTTTTTTTTTTTCTTTTTCTAAATAATATACGGTCAATTGCGCACAAGTCATCAAAAACTTCGTGCTACGGTATCCTTGCGGTGATTATCACGAAACCAGTTAGCATCTAATTAAGCAACAAAATATATGCTATATATAGAGTATATTGAATGGGTTCTCGAACCAATAAATCAACGTGACCCGGGAATACCCTATCGTCTGATTCTGATCGGTCGTTTATTGACAAACTATGGGCTCGAACAAACCTTCTTTTGATCAGGAGGCAGATGCGTAGATATACTGTAGTTAGTTGGTCACTGCTTAAACATTGTGTTCCCATGTATGGTGAAAAAAAAAGAAAATCATTTTATAAATAATGACTTTCAATTCGTTAACGTGAGTTCATTCAGAGAATTTTGATGCCGAGACAGGATCTAATAATTTTGAATATTATCCACCTCCAAAAAACCTCTGTCCTACCCAAGAAGTGACTGGATAAAAAAATTAATGTTCCGATAATATTAATAACGTAATGGCCGAAGGAACGAATTAAATTATTTCGTATCGAATTTGTCTCTGGATTTAAAAAGGGAAATTTTTTGTAATGAAATCGTCGACGCAAGATGGATATTGTGAGAAAATGTCCTAGCAAAAATTTTTTTGTGTTTAAGTTTTTCACCATTGAAAATTAAATGTAACAAGACCATAACGTGTAAGGTGAGACAATGTTACTATGCAGTATTTACAGTATCTTATTTTAAAAAAGTCATTGAATACTCATAAGTTTCAAGGTAAACGTATAGAATAATTCATTTATAAAGATGTTTCGGCATTGAATCAACTGCACGTATGTACAAATGCTTTTTAATAATTCATCGATACCTAACAATTGAAATAAGCCATCTTTTACGCACAAATG